GGGAGGAGGGCTGGGGGCCTGGGTCTGAGGGAGGAGGGCTGGGGGCCTGGGTCTGAGGGAGGAGGGCTGGGGGCCTGGGTCTGAGGGAGGAGGAGGGGGCCTGGGTCTGAGGGAGGAGGAGGGGGCCTGGGTCTGAGGGAGGAGGGCTGGGGGCTGGGCTCCTAGGTCTGAGGGAGGAGGGCTGGGGCCTGGGTCTGAGGGAGGAGGGCTGGGGGCCTGGAGTCTCAGTCCCGGCACTAAGGGGCTGTGGAGCCAGGAATCGGTGGCCCCCTAACCCCCCCCCCCCCCGCCACAGGACCAGCCCCACAGGAGCCGCTCCGGTGAGCATCCCTGCATCCCTCGGTTTCCGCATCCACCTTCTCCTCACCGAGGCCGGCGAGGCTGGCGGGGCTGGTGGAGGGCGGGGTGGGAGGTGGGGTGGAGGTCTGGGCGTGAGGGGCGGGGGTTCCTGCGCTGGCGCCCTAGTCCTTCCCTCCGGGCCCTGGCCCAGCCCCTCCCGCGGCCCCTCCCTCCGGCAGCGGGGACCCCGGCCCAGGCCTCCCTGCCGTCTCTCTGCAGCCACGGCCGCGGGTCCCCTCAAGATGCTGGCGGCCCCGAAGCAGAAGGAAAAGGCGAGCAGGCCCGGGCCGGACCGCGGGGCGCTGCACCCCGAGCCCTCGGCGGCCGCCCCGCCCAGCCGGGGCCGATTCCGGTCCCGGGCGGTGGGCGACTCGGTGCCTCTGGTCTGGTCCCAGCTGGAGCCTCTGGGCTCCGGGAAGAGAGCCGGGGAGAAGTAGGCCTGGTGGGGGGGGGGGGCGAGGGGAGGGATGGAGAGGAGGGGACGCCGCTGAGTCCCACCCCCCTGTGTCCGCAGGTCCCACCCAGACCTCGGCCACGGCTCTCAGACCAAACCCTCCGGCTCTGGTGAGCACCTCCTCCCCTCTCCTCTGAGAACGCACCCTGAAGTTCCGGTCCTTTCCCAGGGCTCAGGCTGCCCCCCCCCCCACAGCGCCCCCACTGACGAGCCAGGAACCCTCCGCCCCAGCGAAGCCCAGCGTCACCATCAGGACCATCTTCAGCATCTTTTCCAGATCCTTCAGCCCATCACTGTCCTCCCCCCAGGCACCTATTTCAGGGGGCCAGGACCCCCTCTGAGATCTGAGGGAGGAGGGGCTGGGGGCCTGGGTGTAAGGGAGGAGGCTGGGGCCTGGGTGTGAGGGAGGAGGCTGGGGGCCTGGGCTCCTGGGTCTGAGGGAGGAGGGCTGGGGCCTGGGTGTGAGGGAGGAGGGCTGGGGGCCTGGGTCTGAGGGAGGAGGGGGTTGGGGGCTGGTCTGTGTCTGAGCAGCTGCAGCCCTGACCCCGTCTCCCTCTCCTCCCTCCTTCTCCAGGGATGCTCAGCGGACAGGGCAGCCATGCTTGGCGGTTTGGCTGAGGCCCCTTCATGCTGCCTCTCGCACGGCCCTGAGGCCTCCCTGCTGGTCTCCTACAAGCAGCTGTACGTGCAAGGGACCCTGGGAGGCCTGGCGGACCCCGACTCCGACATCCCGTCCTCCTGCTCCCTCGGCCCGACCGCCTACCGGCCCGCCTCCTACCCGCCTGCCCGCCCCGCCTCCGGCCCCAGGCAGGGCGGCCAGCCAGGGCCCCCTCGCCCCGTGCAGACACCGCGGCCCCCGCCCGCCCAGAGGGCCCCCCTCAAGCATCCCCAGAAGGCCCCGGCGGATCCGGCTCCGTCTCAGAAGCCCCCGGCGGGTCCTGCCGCCCCCAAGAAGACCGGGGTTCTGGCCCCCGCCCCCCGGAAGGCCCCCCGGGTCCCCGCCGCTCCCCAGAATACCTCGTCCGCTCCTGTCCTCTGCCTGGAACCCCTGTCCCTGCCGACCCCATCGTCCCAGGCGCTGACGCCCCGCACCCGCTACCGGACGGCCTGGGACTCTGCGGCCTCGGGCGCGGGGCCCGCGGGCAGCCAGCCCTCGGGGAAGACGGAGCCCCTGATGCTGGTGGGCGCGCAGGAGACCGAGGTCACGGAGGTGCGGGCCCGGAAGATGTCCCTGGAGCTGCCGGGCCACACGGCCCGGAGGGAGCGGGAGGAGGTGGTGGTGGGCCGGGCCCGGGAGCTGGCCCTGGACGGCCTGAGGGGCCGGGGGCAGGTGGAGGACCCGGTCCGCAGCTCCAGGGAGGAGCGGCGGGTGGACCTGCCTGGCTTCCGGTCCCAGGCCACGGGGCAGCGGAGGGAGTGGGTGAGGTCGCAGCAGCTGGCCGTGGACGGGGCCCCGGGGGGTCCCCGGCGGCCCTTCTCCGTGCTGATGCTCAAGGCCAAGGCCAAGGCCAAGGCCAAGGAGCCGCCCTCGGGGCCCAGACCGTTGGGGCTGCCGTCCTGGCTCTTGATGTCCCAGGTGTCTGCGGGGTCGGCCCGGGGCCCGGAGCCCCTCGGCCGCAGACGGGGGTCCATGGCGGAGGGATCCCCGGGGGGTGCTCGGGGAGCCCCGACAGCGCCCCGGCTGGGCTCCTGGGTGGAGGGGGGCGTGGGTCTGTGGATGGAGGAGACGCGGAGGGCGCAGGCGTCGGAGGCGGAGCCCGAGAAGCTGCCCTGGGCCCAGAGGGGCCCTTCCACGCTGGGCCCCCGCGCCCCGAGCACCCCCAGGAGCTCCAAGGTGGACAGAGTCTCGGAGGCCCCCATCCCCCCGCCCGCGATGAGGTGGGAGGACGCCCTGCCGCCGTCGCCCACCGTGCTGACCCCCATCTCACAGATGGAGGCGGCCAGGACGCCCCTGAAGCTCAACAGAGACGCTGTGGGGACCCAGGAGGGGGGGTCGGGCCGGGGCTCCGTGGCCAAGGCGGGGCTGCCCCCGGAGACGGGCGTGCCCAAGCTCCTGGAACTGGAGAAGATGGGGGGCGTGGCCGGCTGGCTGCAGCAGAGCAAGGAGAGCCCGCAGGTCCTCACGCCCTGGCCCAGGTATGTGGGGAGGAAGGACGGGGAGGGGGGACTCTGAGCAAGGTGACATGGGTAAGCTTAGGGCGCTTGGAAGGCAGGGACTCGCGCTGCAACCCTTGCAAACAGGACGCCCAGCCCTGACCAGTGTGGCTCAGTGGATAGAGCGTTGGCCTGCGGACTCAAGGGTCCCAGGTTCGATTCTGGTCAAGGGCATGGACCTTGGTTGCGGGCACATCCCCAGTGGGGGGTGTGCAGGAGGCAGCTGGTGGATGATTCTCTCTCACCGATGTTTCTAACTCTCTGTCCCTCTCTTTTCCTCTCTGTGAAAAATCAATAAAATATATTAAAATATATACATATATATATTATTGATTTCAGAGGGGAAGGGAGAGGGAGAGAGAGAAACATCCATGATATGAGAGAATCATGGATCGGCTGCCTCCTGCACGCCCCCTACTGGGGATCAAGTCCACAACAAGGGCCTGGGCCCTGACCGGGAATCCAACCGTGACCTCCTGGTTCATAGGTGGACGCTCACCCACGGAGCCACGCGCCAGGAAGGCCATTGAGAATGTTCTTAATGACACTTTAAACTGGTTCCCATGGTGAATGTTATGTCATATGTATTTCCCACCAGGCGTGGACACGCGCAGGGGGCCCCCAGACCAGCTCTGTCCGTGTAGGGCATGGGGGAAAGGGGGGGGGGACTTAAGAGGAAGAGATATTTTTAAAAAAATATATTTTATTGATTTCATACAGAGAGGAAGGGAGAGAGATAGAGAGTTAGAAACATCGATGAGAGAGAGTCATCGATCAGCTGCCTCTTGCACACCCCCTATTGGGGATATGCCAGCAACCAAGGTACATGCCCTTGACCGGAATCGAACCCAGGACCCTTCAGTCCCCAAGCCGACGCTCTATCCACTGAGCCAAACCGGTCCCGGCAGAGGAAGAGATAGGGGTGCATTTGGATGAGGGGGGGAAGGACCACACATAGCGAGGCGGGAGAGACCTGGGAGGGGCGCGGGGCGGCGGTGGGAGCTCGGATTCCGGCTCAGGCCTGCCTGTTCTCCATTCTGTGTGCTTACTGAGCGCCTCCTGCCCTCTCCCCAGCAGGCACTGAGCCCAGCGCCTCCCGTCGCAGGATCCCAGACGCCAATCAATCGCTATGTGGTCCAGAGTGATCTAGTGTGGCCAGGTAGCCCCCCGACACCCCGAAACCCGCCTTTCCCCTCTTGACGCTGGGTCCTGGCGCTGGACCTCTTGGTTCTTCCCCGCAGGCCCAAGGCGCAGTGCGCTGGACTCCAAGAATCCGGAGGCTGGCCAGGCCGAGCGGAGGGCCTGGGGGCTGCCGTAGAGAACAGAGCTATTTGTACATTTATATATTGGGGGGCGGAGGGCGGGCCGGGGGGACATCCCGCGGGGTGGCTCAGCTTCGAGGAGATTAAAAGCCTGTGTCTGAGCCGAATCCGGTTTGGAGCGTCAGCCTGCGGACTGAAGGGTCCTGGGTTCGATTCCGGTCAAGGCATGGACCTTGGTTGCGGGGACATCCCCGGTGGGGAGGTGTGCAGGAGGCAGTTGATGGATGATTCTCTCTCATTGATGTTTCTAACTCTCTGTCCCTCTCCCTTCCTCTCTGTAAAAAAAAAAAATCAATAAAGTGTATTAAAAATAAAATAAAATAAAAGCCTGAGTCTGAGACGCGGCAAACGTGGCAAAGGTCGGGGAGCCTGGAGCCTGTGAGCGCACCGGTCCCTGGGAGCGCGGGGCGCCGGGCTGGAGGCGGGGCGGGAGGGAGGGGAGGGGGCGTGTCCACGCGGCGCAGCTGCTCCCATTGGCTGGGGCTCCGGGGTCTCAGCCAATAGGGCGGAGCCGCGGTGTGCCTGGGCTGGGACCCTCGAGACTTCAGAACGAGGGGCGTCGCGGACGCAACCACAGGCGTCAGGCGACCGGTCAGCCTAGTGAGGACAGGACGGGGGAGCCGGGGGGACCGGGGCTGGGTTTCGGGGTGAGGGGTGCGCCAGAAGTTATGTGCGATTCGAAGCAAGGGGCTCCCCCTCGGCCCCACGAAGCCCCTCCTCTTCGCAGGAGCATGTTCGACTCGGACAAGCCCAAGGCGCGAAGGCCCACGCCGCCCTTCGACCCGCGCTTCCCCAACCAGAACCAGACCCGCAACTGCTACCAGAACTTCCTGGGTGAGCACTGGCGGGCGGGGAGGGGCGCGGGGGAGGCGGGGAGGGGGCGCACCCCAACTCCTGAGGGGGCGCACCCCAACTCCTGAGGACGCGTGAGGCGCCCCGACTCCCGTTGGGAGGGGAGACCGTTGGGGTGGGAGGCGGAGCGAGCCCGGCTCGAGGGGGCGGGACTACCGGTTAGGGGCGGGGCTTTGCTCGGGCGGGCGTGGCCAAGGAGGCAGAGAGGGAAATGTGGCCTGGCCAGGATTGGTGAGGCTAGGCCGCGAGTGGGCGGGGCCTATGATGGAGGCGTGGCTGAGTCGCGTGGGGGCGGGGCCAGAGAGCTGGGGCCTGGCAGGGAGGGGTGGGGCCGGATCCTGGAGAGGCGTGGCCTATCCTGGAGGCACGTGACCAAGTGGTGGCCAGGGTGGAGTAGAGATTGGGTGTGGCAGGGAGGGGGCGGGGCCTGGTCCGGAGAGGATGGGGCCGACTGTGGGGCGGGGCTTGGGGCGGGGCTGGTAGGGACAGGGGGTGGAGAAGGGGGTCCTGTCCTGACGGGGGAAAAAGATACCTTTATCAATAAAGAAAAAAAATTTTTTTTTTTAAAAAAAGAAGGGTTCTGGTGGGGAGGAGGAGCGACCTGGTCAGGAGGGGCGGGGACCTGCTGGTGTGGCTCAGATGGTTGAGCATCAACCTACCCTGATTCCCCGAAAATAAGACAGTGTCTTATATTAATTTTTTTCTCCCAAAGTTGCGGTAGGTCTTATTTTCGGAGGATGTCTTATTTTCGGGGAAACACGGTACGAACCAGGGGGTCACGGTTCCATTCCCGGTCAGGGCACATGCCCTGGTTGTGGGTTCATTCCCAGTAGGGGGCGTTCAGGCAGCAGCTAATCAATGATTTTATTTTCTTTATTTTTTAAAAAAATATATATTTTTTATTGTCCTGGCCCGTTTGGCTCAATGGGTAGAGTGTAGACATATGGACTGAAGGGTCCCAGGTTCGATTCTGGTCAAGGGCACATGCCCTGGTTGCGGGCTTGATCCTCAGTGGGAAGCCTGCAGGAGGCAGCCGATCAGTGGTTCTCTCTCATCGTTGATGTTTCTGTCTCTCTCCCCCTCTCCCTTCCTCTCTGAAATAAAATATATATATATTTCAGAGAGAAAGGGAGGGAGAGACAGAAACATCAAGGATGAGCAAGAATCATTGATTCACTCCTGCACCATTGGAGATGGAGCCTGCACCCCCGGCCTGTGCCCTGACCAGGAATCTAACCGTGACCTCCTGGTTCATAGGTTGATGGTCAACCACTGAACCACCGTGGCTGGACAGCAGTGATTTTCTTTCATCAAGGATGTTTCTATCGGCCTCTCCTTTCCTCTCTGAAATCAATACAATATATATATTTATATCCGAAACCGGTTTGGCTCAGTGGATAGAGCGTCGGCCTGCGGACTGAAAGGTCCCAGGTTCCATTCTGGTCAAGGGCATGTACCTTGGTTGTGGGCACAGCCCCAGTGGGGGGTGTGCAGAAGGCAGCTGGTCTATGGTTCTCTCTCATCGACGTTTCTAGCTCTCTGTCCCTCTCTCCTCCTCCCTGTAAAAAGTCAATAAGATATATTTTTTTAAAAATATATATATAGAGAGAGAGAGAGTGAGTGTGTGTGTGTGTGTGTGTGTGTGTGTGGTCGGGAGGGGGCGGGACCAGGTCAGGAAGGGCGGGAGCTTGGCGCGGCCGCACCCACACGCACCCACCGCCCGCCTCGCCTCCCCGCCCCGCAGACTTCCACCGCTGCGTGCAGAAGATGAACCGCCGCGGGAAGAGCACGCAGCCCTGCGAGTACTACTACCACGTGTTCCACTCGCTGTGCCCCAGCAGCTGGGTGAGCGGCGGGGCGGGGGGAGCGGGGCTGGGGGCCGGCGGGGAGCGGGGCTGGGGAAGCGGGGCTGGGGGCGCGGGGCCGGCGGGGCTGGGGGCCGGCGGGGCTGGGGGCGCGGTGCTGGGGGCCGGCGGGGCGCGGGGCTGGGGGCCGGCGGGGCGCGGGGCTGGGGGCCGGCGGAGCGGGAGCTGAGCCGCCCTGCCCGCCCTCAGGTGCAGCGCTGGACCGAGCAGATCCAGGACGGCACCTTCGCGGGGAAAATCTGACCGGCTGCCCGCCGGCTCCTCCGGGGCCCCGGCCAGTGGCCCGTCCCTTCGTCTCCCGGAGACCGGGCCGCCCCCACCCGGGCCTGAGCCACAAATAAAGCCGAGCTGTTGCCGCCGGTCCTTCCTTCCGTCCGCTCCCTGCGCGGCGGGGCGCGGGGAGTCTGATGGTGAGGGGCGGCCTGCCCCTCAGGGCCGGGGCGAAGGGGGGCGGCAGATCTCTGGGGTGGAGCGAACCCGCCGGCCCCCACCCGCCCCCGCAGCAGCCGCCAGCTCCCGATGCAACTCCTGCCTCAGCCGCCACACCTTCCCACCTTCCCGTCACCTGCACCCCAAATCCCCCTCAGCATCTTCTTCTCTTACCTGGACCGCCTGCCGGACCCCCAGGCTTTCTGCCCTCTGCCCCAGGCCACCCGCCTCAGGCCCACCCAGCGCTAAGAACCCCCCCACCCCACCCTCACACACACCCCAGCCCTTTCCCTGCTCTCCTGTCCCTGCTGACTCCACCGCCCCCACCATGTCCATCCCACCCCATCCCCCAGGTGAGCCCTCCCCCCGCTCCTCCCGCCTTCCGCGGCCAGGGCAGCCTGCCCCCGCCCTCCGCTCCTCCTGCAGAGCCCTGCAGACTGAGCTCCAGGACGCTCAGACGCCACCTGAATTACTTTTAAAGGGTATTTTTGTTTTCAGAGGGAGAGAGAGACATCAGTGATGAGAGGGCACCATGGACCGGCTGCCCCTGTACGCCCCACACTGGGGAGCCGGCAACCCGGGCCTGGGCCCCGGCCGGGAATCGAACCCTGACCCCCGGCTCATAGCGACCCTCATCCACGGAGCCAGCCGGCCGGGCCCCCTGAGTTGTTCTTTGCTTCCCACAGCCAGGCTCTCAGATGACAATGCGGAGATTCCCAACTTAGACACCCCCTCCCCATGTCACCTCTCCAGCCCCTTCACCCCGCACCCCGGGCGGAGGGGGACACTGGCGGGACTGGGCGTGGCCCTGCCCGCCCGCCCGCAGCCCTGCCCGCCAGCCCAGGCCCCAGCAGGGGATTGTGGAATCACAGTTTCTGCCCAAAGCGGTCACCTCCTCAGAGGCCCCTCAGCCCCAGCGCTCAGAGGTGGCTGCTGCTAGCCACACACCCTCCGGGGTGACCCTGGACAGGCCTGTCCACCTGCCGCACCAGAGACAACGGGCCGGGCCGGGCTGGGTCAGCTCAGGGGAGGGCCAGCTCCGTCCCACCCCTCACCCCCTCCATGCCCTCAGCACCCCACCCTGGACACACCCAGGTGTGCCATCTCCCAGATGCCCACCCCCAAGACCTTGGCCCCCAGGATCCTCTGGGACCAGGACCTCTGAGGCAGGAGGCTGTGGCCGCCCGGGACGGGCCTCCTGGGGACTCAGGGCAGCGGCCGCAGGAGCAGGCGGCGGGGCCACGTGGTCGGGGCAGCTCTGAGTCAGGGGCCGGGTGCGCTGTCTGAGCGCCGGTGAGGTCACCCAGGTGGCGGCCGAGCACAGGGCAGACACCTGTGCGCCCAGCCCAGCTCCAGGCCCAGAGCACCAGCTTCCAGCACACTCAGCCCATGAGCCACTGCCCCTCCCAGTCCCCTTCCTTCACTCCCTCTTGGGCCAGGGACCCCCCTCCATCCCTCCGTCACCTCTGGGACATTTTAATCAGTTTTAAAGTGATGTACTTTAAAAAATAGATATTTAAAACAACTTTACTGATTTCAGAGAGGAAGGGAGAGGGAGAGACATCACTGTTGAGAGAGATCGGCTGCCTCCTGCACGCCTCACCCCGAGGATCCAGCCCACAACCCGGGCAGGTGCCCTGCCTGGGAGTCCAACTGTGACCTCCTGGTTCACAGGTCAACGCTCAGACACTGAGCCACGCCGGCCAGGCTGAGCTATGACGTGCTGCTCTCACGTGAATGTTTCTCCCTCCCTCCCTCCCTCCCTCCCTCTCTGAAAATCAATAAAAAATGATAAAAACATAAAATGTTTCACCTGCTCAGGGGCGGAGGAGGGAGGGTTTGGGGGGGTCCTCTTGCAGGGCCTGTGGGGTCTCCATCCAGACAGACAACGGGAGGCACCGGGCATGTGTCAGCTGGCCGCAGCCCCAGGACGACTGGCCCCTTCAACACGGCCCTCCCTCTGGGCGTGGGCTACCAAGCTGGGCCCCAGCCAGCCCAGCTTCCCCGGGACCCCCAGATCCTGCCAGCTCATGGGAGCGGACCTGAACTCCCCACACTCTAACCTCTGTTGGACACCGTGTGCCCAGGGGCCACACCAGCGGTGCGACCTGGGTAATCCCGGCCGGGCCGTCATGTCCCGGAGACCGGCCCCGGTGCAGGCGGCAGGCGATGGCTGTCCGCTGCAATGCAGGTCCTGGACGCTGTCCCTCCCGAGACCAGAGGTCTCCAGAGAGGTTTCTGTCAGAGCTGAGGGGGTGCTGCTGACATCTAGTGGGCAGAGGCCAGCAGCTGCTGCTCCGGGGGAGCATGAGCCGCCCGACGGCTGCACACCCTCCCGCTGGGAGGGGGGCCCGGGAGCATGCTTTATCAGAGGGATTCCTAGGGGAATGGCCCCTTCCCACCCCAAACTCAGGGCCCAAAGCCTGGGCTGCCGCCTCTGGCCTGGCCCCCCCCGTCGGGCTGAGGGCCGCGTGCGCCCTCCTGATGGACACACCACCCTCAAGGCAGAGAGAAACAGGAGAGGCTCCCACGGGTGAAGCTTGTAAGAAGGTTTTAATAAAATAAAAAGTTCAAGTGCTTCCAATCCCCCAACAAACATACCCCGTTCCGGTGCGGGGGAGGGGAGGGCGCCCCCCACAGCCCAGTAGCACCAGGGATAGCACCATGAGAAAGATGAGGTCACACCCGGGCTCCCTGAGACCCGCGGGGGCGGCGAGGACGCGCGGACCCCCGCCTCGCCCCCACCTCAGTCAGTCACAAAGCTGAGAGCAGGCCCACCCCCCCCACGTGGGCCAGTCCCCACCCCGAGCCCGGCCCCTCCTCGAGGCTGGGCTTCTGGGGAGCCGCCAGGGGTGCCCCCACCCCTATGGCTTTGCTCCCTGGGCAGGAGGAGGGGGCGGGGCGGGAATGGCATCGGCAGTCCTGAGGCTGAGGCGGGGGCAGCAATGGCCGGGGCTCCCTGCTGGGGTTGGGGTGGCTCAGGGGTCAGCAGTCATAAAGGGTCAGGGGTCCGATCCCTGGGGGGGTGTCCAACGCAACCCCACCCCCTGGGGTCAGAGCTGTGCTGGGGTCAAGGGTCAGTGGCCTCTTGGAGGCCCGAGCGCCCCTTCTGGAGATCAGCGAGTCCCGAGGCCGCGGGGCCCCTCAGGGCCCGTCGCCGTTGACGTCCAGGTCGATGGAGCCGTGGCTGACCACCAGCCGCAGGCGCTTGGGTGGGGAGAAGGGGGCAAAGGCCAGGGCCTGCTTGGGGACGGGGAGGGGGCCTGGGGGCCTGGCGGGGGCGGGGCTGGGCGAGGAGGTGGGGGGCGGGGCTGGGACCACGCGGCTCAGGTCCACGCGCAACACGTAAGGCAGCCCGTACCGCCGGGCCCAGTGCCAGTCCTGCCGGGGCGTCCAGCGGGCGCGGGGGGCAGGGCCCAGGGCCACCAGGGCCTCCGCCTGCAGGCGGCAGTGGGGGCCGCAGCCCCCCCACCGGTGCAGGGACACGCGGGCAGCGCGGAGAACAGGGGGTGCGGGGGCCCGCCGGGCCGGGGGGCGCCTGCGCCTCCGGGGGCGCACCCAGAGCTGGGGCTGCGGTAGCCACTGGACCCAGAGGGGCGCGGCATCCGAGCCGGCGCCGCAGGGCAGGGGGTGCAGGGGCTGGCAGACAGCTGTGGAGGCGGGGGAGGGAGAGACAGGGTGACCCTGTGAGCCCGCCAGGGAGAGGGGAGAAGGGGAGGAGGGAGGGAGAGGGGAAAGGGGAGGAGGGGGGAGGGGAGGGGGAGGGGAGGGGAGGAGCAGAGAGGAGGGAGGTCTGGGCCAGGCCACTCCCCACCCCACCCCCCACCGGGCCGCCCAGGAACAGGACAGGAGGGCGGGGGGGGGGGGGGGGGGGGTCTGATGGAGACCGGCCGGCAGGAGGGGCTGCCCCGTGCTCACCGCAGAACGGGTTCTGGCGCAGCGGCGACGAGTGGGCGCAGGCCCAGGGGCTGAGCCGGCCGCCCCGGCTCTGCAGCAGCCGCCGCTTGGTCTCGCGGAGCTGGTACTTGTCCAGCGGCTGCGGCGGGAGGGGCTTCCCGGGCCTCAGGCGGAAGGCTCCCTCCCCTCTCCTGGGGGGCAGAGGCCTTGAGGCTGAGCTTCTGGGCTCGGGGCTCCCCGCTCCCCTCCTCCCTCGCCCCGCCCCCGCGCACCTCTCGCAGGTGTAGCATTCACAGTGCTCATTCTTTTCGCCAAAGAAGCCTTCACCGTAGAAGCAGGTCACCTCGTCCCCGGGCTCGATGTCCCGCAGCACCTTCACGCAGGCCGCGTTCCCATCTGCGGGCACAAACTGGGGGCCGGGCCGCTCATCGCCCTGGCCCGCGGGCCCCCTGGTCCCCAGGGTCCTCCCCGGGCACAGACAGGGGCCAGGAGCCCCCGGCAATCTCTGACCTTCCTCCCCTCCTGCGGGAGGAGGTCTATCCCCCCCCCCCCCCCTGTGCTCAGGCGCCGGGCCCTCCCACACACCCGCCCTCCCACACACCCGCCCCCTTGCTCCCTGCCGGCCTGCACCCTGAGGCCACCGGTTTCCTGGAAGCCACCCCACAGCCCCTACCTGCCTGCTCCTGCCTCCCAGGGGCCTGTCTGTCTGTCCACCCCCCACCCCCCTCTAGACTGACACAGCCGGGGCGTGGCCCGTGCCAACCACCTGCCTGACCCCAGGTCTTCTCGGTCCCTGAGACCTGCCCCCCCCCCATCACCTCTCACTCAGGACAAACCAGATCGCACACCAGCGTCCCCGTGCGGCCAGGCCTCCAGGCCCCCCCCCCCCCCCGCCTCGCCCCCCAGTCCCTTATTCACAGAGTGGGCGCTCCCAGCCGGCAGACCCGAGCTCACGCAGAACAGACCGGAGTCGCCTCACTGGCCACACGGCCCCTGACCCTCCCGTGACGTGTCCTGTCTGGGACACCCTAACCTGCCCCCCGTTTTCCTGCAGCCCTGGACCACCCCGCTCCCCCTCCACGCCGCTCCCGGGCCCCAGGCGGCTGTCGCCTGCCTCCGCACCAGCCTCTCATGCAGCCCTGCCTGTGCCCAGGGCCAGACTGGGCCCATGTCATGCACCCCAAAACCTATGTAACTGCGGGGGGGGCCTGCAGAATCAAAGCAACACTGCCAACACCACGCCTGTGCCCCGCGCCCCTGCCCCTCACAGCCTACGAGGAGGCACGCTCTCACTGGCCCTTCTCAGAAAAATCAACCTCAAACCCAGCTCTGACCCCGCCACCTGGGACCCCCCCATGCCTCAGGGCTCCTGCAGAGGCCCAGGCTTGGCAGGGAGCACCCCAGGGGCTGTCTCCCCTCCACTCCCCACTCCCCGGGCTCCACCAGAGCAGCAGCCACCAACCCCGCCCCACCCCCAACCTCCTCCCCTGTGCAGGGAGGCCCGCCGCGCTGTGGGGCCCCTCCCCCACCGCCGGGGCTCTCAGGCCGCACTCCAGGGAGCCAGGGCCCCCAGGTTCCTGCCACTCAGTCCCCGGCTCCTGTTAGCACCACTGTGCCCGGGAATGCCTTCTGGCCAGGCTCAGGGCTCCAGGCCCCGGTCCCCATCACCACACACCACCCCCAAACTGGCCCGGCCCCCAGCTCAGCGCAGAGGGAAGAACACCGCCAGCAGGTGGCAGCCCTTGTCCCAAGGTGACTCCAGCCAAAGCCCCCTTCCCCCAACCAGAACCGGCTCTGGGGAGACAGTGGACAGTCTGGGGCGATTCATCGACCAGAAAAGCCCTCCCCCCTCATTCCCCGCTGCCCGTTCCGCCCGGCGGGCCCCAGCGCTCACCTTGCAGTTGGGTTTGCAGTCTGCAGACAGACAGCGGGGTGCAGGCGCAGGGGGGAGAGAAGAGACTGTGAACGGAGCCGGGAAAGGGGGCGTCCCCCAGGCCCCGCCCCAGGCCCCGCCCCGCGCACCGTGGTTGATGAAGGCGGCGGGCCCGAGCCACAGCTGGGCGCTGCGCTTGCGCGTGGAGTACATGATGCTGAAGTCGTTCTCGCCGGCCCGGAGCAGCCCCTCGTCCGCCTCGCGCAGCTCCGCGATGCAGCCCACCAGCAGCTCCAGCTTCTCGTTCTTCTTCCTGCCGAGAGGCCGGCTGTGGGCGTCGCCTCGCCGACCGCCCGGGCCGCCCGCAGGCAGCAGGCAGCCGCCTCCTAATCTCCCACCTGCGGGCGGGGCGGGGCTTCCCGGCCCGACCACCCACGTGGGCAACATCTTGCATCTGCTCCCCGCTCCCCTCGCTCCTCCAGACCCCCCCCTCCCTCCCTCCTCACTCCCCCACCCCCGTCCTGCCTGGGGCATCCGGTCCTTCTGCCTGGACTCAAGGCCCCGCCGGCCACTGACAGCCCGTCTCCACCGGACCCTCATCCCTGGGGTTCCAGCTTAAGCCGGGCTCCCCTGAACACCCCCAATTCCTTGGCTCCTGAAGCTCGAGGCAGCTAGGGCCAGTGTCTGCCTGTCCACTCTGCCACCATCTACCTTCCGCTAGGATGAGCGAGCGGGCAGGGCCCCCTCCCCCGCACCTGCTCCATCCAGCTCCCGCCTGCCCCGCAGCACCTGCTGTGCGCCAGGGCCCAGGGCTGGCCCCCCAGCCCGGCTGTGAAGCTCAGGACCGCCCGGGCCCGGCTCCTCCTCCTCCTCCGCCTCTCCGGGGGGACCTCCTGTCGCTCCGCCCTCTTACCAAGCCCGCGTGGACACGATCTTGGCTCCGTTCCTCTCCATGGAGTAGCGGGTGCAGGGCAGGATGGTGAAGCCGCTCTCAGGCAGGAAGGCGCGGAGGTAGCGAAAGATCTGGGGGAGGTGAGGGGGTGGGCAGGGTGAGCTGGCGGGGCAGGGCCGTCCTCGGCGCCCCCTCTCTCCTGCGCGCTAGTCCCCGCTCTGCCACTGACTCGCTGAGTGGTGGTGGTGGTGGTGGGGGGGGGACTCACGCCCCCTTCTCGGGGCCTCAGTTTCCTCATCTGTCAAATGAAGAGGTCAGACGCCTTCTCAGAGGGCCCGCCGGCTCTCCTCTCCTAGGGATGCTCTGAGGCCCCGGCTCAGGAGGTCCCCCCAGAGCTAGGGAGTCGGGGGGGAGTCGCCCCCGCGGGCTGTGCTGCGCGGAGGGGCGCAGTGCCCGGCGGTGGGGGGCTCCGAGGTGAGGGGCGCGCACACACGGGTGGGTGAGTGAGCGGGGGGGGAAGGAAGGGCGCCCTCACGTGGGTCTTGAGGGCAGCCTCCTGCCGCGGGCCCCGGCTCTGGAAGTAGTGGGCCATCCAGCCTCCCAGCGTCAGGGCCCGGTATGCAGCCTCCAGGTCCCGCTGCCTCAGGAAGGCCTCCAGCGCTGAGCGCAGGTGGTGCTGTCGCCGCAGGGGGGGCACAGGGCTGGGGGAGAGGGCATGCCTGGGTCCCAGGGCCTTGGCCTACTCCCTCCGGGCCTTCCCGGGCCCCGCCCCCACCCGCGCCGGGGGGCGGGGGCGCAGCGGAGGCGGGGAGGGGCCCGGCCCGCCGTCCGCCCCGCGCGGCGGCCTCACCTGACGTTCATCTTATGCGTGCGGAAGCCCAGGTAGGGGTCCAGCACCAGGCTGGTGGCCAGGTCGTCGTTCTCGCACAGCTCCCGCGCGGTCACTCTGTCTGGGCCCATGGTGCCGCACACACCATGCTGCCGCGGCCGGGGCGCGGGGAGGGCCTGCGCTGGCGCCGGGCCGCTGCGGCGCCCGTCCGGACCCTCATCTGCACGTCGGGGGAGAAGAAGAAGAGCAGCTCAGCCCAGCGCCGGCCCCAGGGCAACAAGTGCGCCTGCCAGGGGGGGACGCCCCCAAAACGAGGGCCGGTCCCCTTCGCCGGCAGCTCCTTCGCACGCTCTGGAGCGCAGACACAAAGGCCCCGCCACGCACACACACACACGCACGCACATGCACACGCACACACATGCACACGCGCACACACGGAAGGCTGAGCATGATGGGGCTGCAAGGCTGAGGGGACCCCGAAGGCTTACAGCCCTGCAGGAGCTGGGAGTCATGAGGCTCACTCCCCCTCTGGGCCTCCCCGAGGACAGGGGATCCCCCCCCCCCTCCACCCACAGTCCCCACCTCCCTCCCCAGCAGCCCAGGGAGCCGCAGGAGGCCCTGGGTGAAGCCCCAGGCGGCCTGCAGGGGGTTGGGGGGGGAGGCGGAGGAGCGATCCCAGCACCTGCTCCCTCTCCAAGGATTCCATTCTGGGGGAATGGGGGGGGGCTCGGAGGACAAAGCGGGGGCGGGGGTGCGGAGAGAAAAGGCAGGCACAGGCAGAGGAGCGAGAAGGGGGTTTGCGACCCGAAACAAAACATGACCCCTGACCCCGTCCGCGGGAGGCCTGCGGGCACCCACCCCGCGGGGCTGCGGGGAGGCGGCGAGGAAGGGCGCGCGGAGGAGCGGCGGGCGGGCGGGCGCGGGGCGGCGGGCAAGGGGTCGGCGCGGAGGGCGCGGGCCGGGCGGAAGCTGCGGGCGGCGGCGCGGGCGGGGCCGGGAGGACAGCCCGGCGGGATACCTGGGGCGCGGGGAGAGAGGGCGGAGAAGGGCGTGGGGTCCAGGGAGGGTCCCGGGAGGAGCTTGGGGCCTTGGAGAAGCAGCGAGGCGGGGGCGTCCTGGGGTCCCGGGAGGGGCGTGGGGAGCCCGGAGCACGGAGCCGGGGGGCCCCGGCAGGCAGGCAGGCAGGGAGGGTCCGGGGAGGAATTGGGAAGCGGGCGGGCGGCTCCCGGGACCTGGGCCGGCGGTGAGCGTGCAGGGCAGGGCCTGGAGCGTGGGGGAGCCCCGGGGAGGCACGGGGTGCGGGAGGGGCCTGGCGAGGAGGCACCGGGGCGGCTGCGCCGAGCCCCGCAGGGCGCGCACTGAGGCGCCTGTGCACGCGGGGCCGGGCCGGGCGGGGGACAGTCGGGGCCGGGGGCGCCCGGGAGCCAAGGCGGCGCGGGGCGGGGGCCGAGAGGGAGCTCAGACGTCCGACCCCGCGCCGCCCCTCACCCGCTTCTCCTCCTCCGCCTCCGCCTCTGGCGCTCGCGCCGCCGCCGCCACTACCTCCCACTGCCTCTTCAGCGAGCCTCAGGCTCGGCCGCCGCGCCTCCCGTCTGCCCCGCCGGGCCCGCCCCGCCGCGGCCGCCGCGGCCTGCCATTGGCTGCGGCCGCCGCCACTCTGCAATTGCCGAGGCATTCGCGCCTCTCCCATTGGTCGAGCCGCGCTCCGGCCTCTCCGCCCGCCCCCACAAAACCCCGTCAGTGCCCCCACAAAACCCCGCCACGCCCGCGCTGCCCCCTCCGCGCCGCCAATTGCTGCGGTTGGTTCCCGCCGCTGTCCTTCCTGCGCTGCCATGGAGACGTATCCCCGCCCACGGCCCGCAGGCGGCTCCCTCATTGGCTAAAAGCGCCGTAACTCCGGTGCGGGTCAGGTTATTCGGGTCCAAGTGGAAAGGAGGCGGGCTCCGCCGGCTCCAGAAGTAAGACGTGATTGGTTGGCCTTGGCAGGGCTCATCCTTCCATTGGCAGAAGGCTCCGCCCGTCACCAGAAGCCGCGGCCCTCCCTATTCTTTTCCTCCGGTGAAACCTTCAGCCCTCTGAGGCAGAAAGCCGGGAGAGGGCTGAAGGGGTGAATGCGCGCGCACCTCCGTGCACCGCCCCGCCGCCTGGAGAGGCCGGCGGTTGCCAAGGCGACAAAACTTTATTGACAACGCTGTCCGGGTACAAAGGGCTCTTACCGCTCCCTCCTGGTCGATCCTTCTCTTGCCCCTAAGTCCCCATTCAATTTCGGGAGTGCCCACAGAAACACCGGGGAGACAGGGAAGCTTGGGAGCCTCCCCCGGGGCACCCCCCCACTCTCCCCAATTAGCATCACCCCCTCTCCCAGCTCCCATCCTAGAAGCAAACATAATTAGCCATGCATCTTTTTTAAAAAAATATATTTTATTGATTTTTTTACAGATAGGAAGAGAGAGGGACAGAGAGTGAATCATTGATCAGCTGCCTCTTGCACATTCCCCACCGGGGATGTGCCCGAAACCAAGGTACATGCCCTTGGCTGGAATCGAACCCGGGACCTTTCAGTCCGCAGACTGACGTTCTACCACTGAGCCACACCGGTCTCGGCTAGTCATGCATCTTCATTACGCCCAGAAGAGCGAGCTCCGCGCTTGCAGGGGGGGGACCTTTGTGTGGTGGACTGCTACGTGTCCGTCCTGCGCCGAGTAGGTGCTTTCTCGGTGCCGCCGCTCTGTGTCATTGGGGAAATGGCTTGCCCTCTCTGGGCCTTCCCAGGTGTCCTCCATCTTTTTCTTTATTATTATTATTATTATTAACATTTTAAAAATTGCTGTATATTTTGCCGAAACCGGTTTGGCTCAGTGGCTAGAGCGTCGTCAGCCTTCGGACTGAAGGGTCCCGGGTTCAATTCCGGTCAAGGGCATGTACATTGGCTGCGGGCATATCCCCATGAGGGGGTGTGCAGGAGGCAGCTGATGGATGACTCTCATCAATGTTTCTAACTCTCTATTCTCTCCCTTCCTCTCTGTAAAAAAAAAAAAAAAAATCAATAAAATATATTTTTAAAAATTGCTGTATTCAAAATAATAAATTTGGGGGTAAATAAGCTTTAAAACAAAAGCACATAAGCAAAATAATAATAATAATAAATTTACACCAACCCACTAACCTGATTTTCAGAGTAAAGCCATTTCCAACTACAGCACTGTTATCTGGGCTCCAGATGGTGGTCAAACTTTGATAGTGCATTATTTAAAAAAACAAACAAAACAAAACAGCAACAAAAACATGAACCCTAAGTAAAGCCTTTAACAAAACCAAAGTACTGGATTTCGCTCTTTAATGTTAACTAACCAAACTTTGTAATTTTATGTCCTCCATCCTTGCTCCCAGCCGCCAGCCCTCGGTTTATAGTGATCCTTTATCAGCTCCCAGCGCCGAGACACACCCGCACCCCGCACCCCGCACCCCACCCCGCACCCCGCACCCCGCACCCCGCACCCCGCACCCGGAAGGATGGCCGCAGCTCCAGAGGAGGGAAGGAAGGAGGGACCCTCCGCCCAGCTGAGCGACCGGAAAAGCCCTAGCGGCTTGTCTGCATCTTAAAAGGTTTACCCCTTTGACCGGAGGGTGCACATAGTTCTGAGATGATTGCATTTTTAGAAAATGTGAGGCACGAGGCGTGTTCATCCTGCAGGGGGCGCCACCCAGCCGGGAAAGGCGGCGCGGGCCGGGCCTGCAGCCGCCGGGACAGCCCAGAGCATGGACCGCAGGCGGCAGGAGTCTCCACAGTCAAATGTAGAAGGTTTTGTTGTTGTTGTTTGTTTGTTTTTTAATATTTTTATTGCCTTTTTACAGAGAGGAAAGGAGAGGGAGAGGAGTTAGAAACATCCATCAGCTGCCTCCTGCACGCCCCCTACTGGGGATGTACCCACAACCAAGGTACGTGCCCTTGACCGGAATGGAACTTGAGACCTTTCAGTCCAAGGGCTGATGCTCTATCCATTGAGCCAAACCGGTTTCAGCAGTTTTTAGTTTTGTTTTGTTTTCAAATATATATTTCTTTATTGATTTTAGAGAGGAAGAGTAGAAGGAGAGAGAGAGAGCAACAGGAATGATGGCAGGGAATCACTGACCGGTTGCCTCCTGCACGCTCTCACACTGTGGATCGAGCCCAAAACGTGAGCATGTACCCTTGAGGGGAATCGAACCTGGGACCCTTCAGTCCGCAGGCTGACACTCTATCCACTGAGCCAAACCGGCCAGGGCAAATGTAGAAGTTTTAATACGCAGAAAGCAAGGGCTGTGTACGGATACATCTAATGCTGCATGAATGTCAAGAGTGTGACAGATGCCCCAACCGGTGTGGCTCAGTGGATAGAGCGTCGGCCTGAGGACTGAAGGGTCCCAGGTTCAATTCCAGTCAGGGGCATGCACCTTGGTTGCGGGCACATCCCCAGTGGGGGGTGCGCAGGAGGCAGCTAATCAATGTTTCTCTCCCATCAGTGTTTCCAACTTTCTTTCCCTCTCCCTTCATCTTGGTGAAAAATCAATTTATATATATATATATATATATATATATATATATATATATATATATATATATATAAATATATATATATAATTTTTATTTATTTATTTTTGTTTAAGTGTGACAGAGGTGAAAAGGCCCTAGTAGGCCTGAAGGCATGCGATCGGGAAAGCTACAAAAGACATTTGTCATTGTTCAGACCAGAGGTGGATATTTCTCTCTCATCGATGTTTCTCTCCCATCATTGATGTTTCTATTTTTGTCTTCCTCTCTGAAATCAATAAAAATAGATTTTTTTAAAAAAAAAGATGTGGGTCTTGGCATTGTTTAAAAAACAACTAGAGCCCTGGCCAGTTTGGCTCAGTGGATAGAGTGTCAGCTTGCAGACTAACGGGTCTCAGGTTCAATTCCGGCCTAGGGCACATGCCTGAGTTGCTGGCTTAATCCTCCCCAGTAGGGGGCCTACTAGAGACAGCCAATCTGTGGTTCTCTCTCATCATTAATGTTTCTATCTCTCTATCCCTCTCCCTTCCTCTCTGAAATCAACTAAAAAATAAATTAATTAATTAAAAAAAAAACAAACTAGGAAAGTCCAGCCAGTGT